GGTTGTGTGTGGTTGCCTGTCTCCAAGTGTCAGCCCTGTGATTAGAATGTTGACCTGTCCAGGATGTACCCTGCTTCTTCTCACCCAGAGTCAGCTAGGATTGGCTTCAGCCCCCCACCCCCCGTGACCCTATTTAGGAATAAGCAGTATAGATACTGGATGTTCAAGTGGTCAGTGGTCAAACTCTTGGACTCACTTGGTGAATTTGTGAACTTTTGCTGAATTTATCAGCATTTAGAACAGTGAGCCAAGGTAAATGTTTGACCAGCACTATGGGAAGATGAGTTTTTCCTGCCTGGCAAGCTGAGTTAGTGTGTGAGCATGGGGTTAGATTGTTGGCATACCAAAAGAGAAGACTCCACAGGGACTTGTGCCAAAGACTAAATCTGTCGATCGTGCCAGGAACAGTTGGCTAGTAACAGTCTGATTTCAGGGGTTTATCAGAGAGTGGGAGTGGTGACTATAAATGGCTAAATCTACTTTCCCTAATGGCTAAATGTGACTCTCTCCAGTCTCTAATGTTTTTGCATTGTATGCTTGAATTGTTGCAACAGGTCAATCAGTCATCGCTCTTCCTCAAAGCAGCCTCTCTGCGTAGCTTGTCGTAAAGTCCCTCAGCTCTACATGGGAAATGCCAGTGGAAAACAATAAGGCAACACTAATTTCCTTTAACTGCATCTCTTCTTGATGTTTACATTCTAGCTATGCTATCATTATGTGGGAGGTGCTCTCCAGGCAGATTCCATTTGAAGGTAACTTGTTCTTTATCACACTGCACTCGTGCTCTTTATATCCATGTTTGATTTGTCACTCCCTCATGCTGTTTACTTGAGTTGTCATAATGCTACTAGACTACACTAATGTCTGTGTGTCTGCCTGGTCAGAGGTGACAAACCCCATGCAGATCATGTTCAGTGTGCTACGCGGGATGCGTCCTGACACAAGCCTGGACAGCCTGCCCGCTGACATCCCCAGCAGAGAAACCCTCATCAGTTTAATGACATGCGGCTGGACCTCTAACCCTGATGAACGGCCTTCCTTCCTCAGTAAGAGCATACAGACTGCAGGTCTTCTTTTCTGGCAGAAGATTACACATTCCGCCTCCCCCTGCTGTACCGGTCTGACCTTTTTCACAGTCTCGGTTAAATCTCTTAGTGCAGATCCTCCTCCTCATGACAGAGCAGTGACTAAGTCTCAGCTTCCTGTTACGTTATTAAGATTTTCTCTTTTGACTTCACTGAAACACCATGAATTTCTTTATATTTCATAATCACACGGGTATAACACATATAGGGTCCAGTTCATTACATTAAACCTAAACTTTTAACCTTGATTAACATGGCCCTTCAAATGTTTCTGACTTGTTCTGGTAAATGCACAGGCCAATAAAAATGTTGTCACTGGAAATGAATCATTTACTGTATGTGCTGTATTTGGACAAACAAAAACAACAAATCAGAAGTAAAAACGACAGGTTCTGTCTGAATAGTTGTTAACACTTTAACTTCTCTATATGATTCTTTGACTTTTTATGTAATAATACCACGCACTATTTGATAACAGGAAGCTAGAACAGATTTATAGACCTAGAGATGTTTTCCACTCAGAGATTATATTAATTTCCTTCCCAAAACATAACTACCTCTATTATTGTGTTTTTTTTGGCTCCCAATTACACACCCACACAAAGAGAGACACACAAAAGTGGCATTATGCACTATCATATTTGCATATTGTTGGGGGGGAAAAAGGTCCTGACTAATCTGTCATCATTGTAATGTAGGAAATGCATTCCACTGTTACACAGCAAACTCAGTTTCCATTTTATTCTAATGTCTGTGGTGGTTACAGTCACACTAAGTGTGTTGCTACTCTACAGCTTTATTTCATCTAGGTTAAAAAGTAGCCTAAATAAATGAGTCAAATGTTGGCAGATTTCTGACTTTTTTTCCCCAGCTGAGGGAGCTCCGTGAAAAGTTGGCAAACCAGTGTGACTAGAAAAAGATGTGAAAAAGAAGTTAAAGATAGTTTTGCTCTGTATTGTAGAGTGGATTTTGTGTAGTGATACACAGCAGAGGTGTGATGTGTTTACTGTTATTGCAGAGTGTTTGATTGAGCTGGAGCCCATGGTGAGGAGTTTTGATGAAATTGACTTCCTAGAGGCTGTGCTGGAGATCAAGAGGTCAAAGGTCAGTCAGCAGTCTTTTCAATGTTTTATTAAAATTAATTAATTAAACTTTTGGGGGTGATTATTTATTTATTTGCTCATTTTCTGTTTTAATTAAAAAGTTGACTGTCTACAACAAGGGGAGAGAAAGTTCTGTATGTTCTGAAAACAGGAGCAGTAAATGTTGAGGGTTTTGCTTAAATGAACAGAAACGTGCATTGCTGTAGTCGGTCACAATATTTCCGTTTTATTTCTTAACTTCTTGGTGGTGTTGGGTAATACTGGTCAGACTGGGTAAGGGAAATCCCCTGCTGATGAACACACAACACCAGATTAATGCTGGTTATCTTTAGTGTTCACACAAGGAAGAGACCAAGTGTTACACTGTGTAATCTGGGATACTTCGTATTGGGTTGTGACTAAGAAAGGATGACAGGACATAATTTCCTTCATAATTTCCATTTAACACATCCTTCCTCTTTGCACTTTAGGCCTGTGAGTACGTGAGTGAGACTTTTTTTTAACCAGTTATTACTAATGGAAATGCATCAGAATGGAAGCATTTATATGCACTGGAAAACAAATTATATGTAGTTATGGTCTTGTGTTAGTATGTCAATGTGTAAAAATGACTTGTCATTTTGGGAAAAATAGCAATCTAAACTTGCTCATGGCTCTCCCTGTTTGCTTACAATTAGATGATAGATGTATAATGATATGCAAAATTGGCAGTTTTATCCATATCAGATTCAATCTACAACACGGTGAATTGTGCATAAAGTGAAGGGATTTGAATTCTTTCTAAAGCCAGTGTACAGTCATGGCCAAAAATATTGGCACCCCTGCGTTATCTGACCGAAATGAAGGGGTGCCAGTATTTTTGCCTTTGGCTTATTTAATCAAACCCATTCTTAATGGTTGATTTCTGTGCTGTCAGTATGACCTCTTCTTCCTCTTCCTCCCTCTACAGCTAAGGCAGAGATCAGGCTGCTGTTCAGCTCAGCCAGTGGCCGAGAAGAAGGTGGAGGAGGGATCTCTGAACATGCTGAAGGACAGATCCAGCCCCTGGCCGGTCAGGAGCCACTTGGCCTCACCTACATTCAGGATTCATTGACTAATTAAAGCTCTGTCAGCGATTAAACAGAGTCTTTAGCTCTGGTTTCTGTAGGACTATCAAAGTAAAAGTCTAAAATTAAACAGTGGTACTTGGGGAGGCACTATATTTAGGCTTTAACTGTTATTATGTGTTAAGTGTGTGTATATGTAAATTGAAGAGTACTGTCTGTGTTGCCACAGGAGGGCTTCACCTCAGGCTCAGGCTCAGACATATCTCTACCCGGTGCCCTCACCAGCAGCAACGCTGCACCATCTAAAGGTAAGAACAACACATCTTACTGTGTCAGTCAGAGCTTGAACTTCTGAGCAGCTCTGTTAATATGAAACTTTTAAGAGAGCGGTCTTGTAATAAGATGTCGAGAGTGCAGGTGACATCAGATATCAAATGTAATGCAATGATATATATATACATTTGAAGTCAGAAGTTTACATACAAATACATTTAAACCCAGTTTTTCACAGCTCCTGACATTTAATCCTATAAACATTCACTGTCTCGGGTCAGTTAGAATCACTACTTTATTTTAACAATGTGAAATGTCAGAATAATGGTAGAGAAAAAGATTTATGTCAGCTTATTTCTTTCATTACATTCCCAGTAGGTCAGGAGTTTACATACAGTCGGTTAGCAGTTGGTAATGTTGCCTTTAAATTGTTTAACTTGGGTCAAAAGTTTTGGGATACCTTCCACCAGCTTCCTACAATAAGTTTCTGGAGTTTCAGCCCATTCATCCTGACAGAACTGGTGGAACTGAGTCAGGTTTGTAGGCCTCCTTGCTTGCACATGCCTTTTCAGCTCTGCCCACAGATGTTCTGTTGGACAGGTCAGGGCTTTGTGATGGTCTCTCCAGTACCTTGACTTTGTTGTCCTAAAGCCATTTTGCCACAACTATGGAAGTTTGTTTGGTGTCATTGTTCATATGGAAGAGCCGTTTGTGACCAAGCTTGAACTTCCTGGCTGATGTCCTGAGATGTTGCTTCAGTATATCCACATAATCTTCCTTCCTCGTGATGCCATCTATTTTGTTAAGTGCCCCAGTGCAGCAAAGCACCCCCGCCCCGTTTCCTCCAGACATAACGATGGTCATTACAGACAAATGGTTCAATTTTTGTTTCATCAGACTAGAGGACATTCCCCCAAAAAGTAAGATATTTGTCCTCGTGTGCAGCTGCAAACCATAGTCCGCCTTTTTAATGGCGGCCTTGGAGCAGCATCGTCTTCCTCGCTGAGCAGCCTTCCAGGTTATGTCAACATGGGACTCATGTTACTGTGGATGTAGATACTTTGGCACCTGTTTCCTCCAGTGTCTTCACAAGGTCCTTCGTTGCTGTTCTGGGATTGATTTGTTTTGGTCATACCAAAATACATTCATCTCTAGGAGACAGAACACATCTCCTTCTTGAGTGGCATGATTGCTGCGTTGTCCCATGGTGCTTATACTTGCATAGTATTGTTTATACAGATGAATGTGGTACCTTCAGGGGTTTGGAAATTGCTCCTAAGGATGAACCAGACTCCACAGTTTGTGTTTTTTCCCCGTCCTGGGGTCTTGTCTGATTTCTTTTGTTTTTCCCATGATGTCAATAAAAGAGGTACTGAGTTTGAAGGTAGGCCTTAAAATACATCCTTGGATGTGTGAAGACAACATTCAAACACACACAGCTAAATTTTATTGTTGCGTAGAACCAGAGCTTTAATTGGCCTTAAAACCAATAGAAACCATTCATCTGTCCTCTAAATGATATGCAGAGGCAAGTGGAGCTCATTAATCACTGTCACAGAGTGAGTGACAGGTACATCAGCCCTAAAAATGCCAACAGCGAGCTTTGTATAAATAACCATGATAAGTCCTTGAATTTGATGTCCCAACTCTCCTCTGAACATCTGGCACAGATATAGCAAAAGATCCCATGTGCAAACGCACTGACACAGTAACCTCTCTCTTTAAAATTATTTTCCATCAGAAAACACACACACATACATATGTAGTAAAACCCAACATGGGACCTTCTATCCAGCTGTCACAGACTGGCAAGTCCCATTCAAGGTTTCTTGTAATTGGTTGCATCTCTCCCCAGAGGTGGAGGCTGTGTCTAGAAGCAGACAAAATGGTTTACCACAGGAGCTGTGTATTAAATGTTCAGTTTAGCGGAGCCACCAAGGAACAACTCGGCACATACAGCTGTCCATGGATGTCCAATATGGAGGCATCATCCAGCAATAATACCATATTAACCATCTGTGGTCATAATAATGAATCTGTAGTATGTTGGGGTTTTTGTCATTTTTTTCTGTTAGAGATGCTCAAATTGAGATAAGTGAATTGATCTTATTCTGGCCTACAGGGATCAAATCAACTTTGATAATCATTTTCTTTATTAAGAAGATAATTGATCAGTCCCAGGCTATTATTGGTATGTGGCTTTGCAAAGGATTATTAGCAACATGTTGAGTGCTTTTAATAATTCAAAAAGTTAGTTTTAACAGGTGAAAGATTTTTTTTGTGATGGCAAATTTTAAAAAATATATACACAGATATTTTACAGAATACTTTTTTATACTATTATAAACAAAGCAAATACAGTAAAATGATGCATTCAGATATATGAGGCCAGGCTAAATGAACTAATAAACTAAATTTAATAAACTGTCAATTTAATGTAATATAATTTTGCAAATAACATTCAAATTTATACTAAACAGCATGTTTTTATCTATGAATTGAATCAAATCAATTTTGGATTAACTGGAGGCTTTTT